AAACAATAATAATGTAAACATTGCTCCTGGAGTGCAATGCAAGCAAAACAAGTCTCCCATTAAAAGCATCTAGGTTCACAAAAAAAAATGCAAAGTTGACCCCCACATAAGTCATCATTTGGGCTATGTATTTCTTCCTGTAGGGTACAGCTTAAAATATTTGTTCAAACCCAATGGGAACTGCTCAAATCCAATGGGAACCTGCTTTAGTTTTACTCCGTACTTTCATTACCTTAAACCAGTTTTTAATCTGGCATGCTGGGGTCACCCACTCATATTGTTGACAGAATTCCACAAGGCCCCACTCAAAACACTGAAATTCTTCTGTTGTTGCTTTTAATCAGTTTTCTGTCTTTGGCATTACTTAATAAATGCATGTGGCTCATTGAAACTGAGTCACTTGTGTTGTTTCAGTGAAACACTGTGAGTTGTCAGATTTAGTATCTAGTATTTGTAATATTATTAGTATTTGTTTAGTGGATGCAACCTTGTTAAGTAAAACTCAACCTCTTTCCCATTGACTCATGACATCATCTATTTACCTATAGTTTTACTTCATGTTGTCTGTCCCCCAACCTGCTTTCTTTTGTGTGTGCGTCTTTCTTACACCGATCAGGCATAACGTTATGTCCACCTCCTTGTTTCTACAGTCATTGTCCATTTTATCAGCTCCACTTACTATATAGGTGCACTTTGTAGTTCTACAATTACATGTAGTTCGTCTGTTTCTCTGCATACTTTGTTAGCCTCCGTTTACCCTGTTCTTCAGTGGTCAGGACCCCCATGGACCCTCACAGAGCAGGTACTATTTGGGTGGTGGATCATTCTCAGCACTGCAGTAACACTGACGTGGTGGTGGCGTGTTAGTGTGTGTTGTACTGGTACGAGTGGATCAGACACAGCAGTGCAGTCCAGTTAATTTACTCAAATTGCTTTTTTATGTTTTCATTCATTGAGTAAATATCCCAGAAGCTACTTCACACAGTTGTGTGGAACCACTTGACATAATATATGGAACATGTTCTCTGTAATAGAGTTTAGTGATTACTCAAGTCAGTAGGGCTGTCATGATTGTGAAATTTTATTTTATGATTATTTTTCACGTAAATAATTGTGATTAACAATTAAATTATCTTTTGTTCAGCGATTGCAATTAATATACAAGCCTATAGTGAGCAAACTGTCTGATTAGCCACCTTACCGGCTAGCTATGTTAACACTGGTTGTACAGTTGAATCAATATACAGCTGTTACAGTTACATAGAATTATGTGTAGAGTTGAGCAAAGCCACACATTCTTCTAACCTGTGTTGTTGTTTATTTCATTTATCCAAGATCTTTTTATGGCTCTTATTGTTGCTAAATGGTAATGTTACTGCATGCTATCATTAGAAATGTTATCTTTTATTCTGTACTTTGGGTGATGAAAGCCAATTTGGGTCAGTGTCATATAGTATTAGGTATGTCAGGATTGGTTGTTTTTGGACTGAAAACTTAGTCACGTCAGGCTCGGACAGAAAGTTCTCAAGCTGTAACCAGTTTTGGACCATTTTTAGGCCTGAATAAAGCACGATTGTAGGCTTGTAGATTGTTTTTTTGAGCAGGTTACTTTAAAGCTTAATATATTAAAAAACAATCCAATCTGTTAGCCGATACTTAAGCTATCAGTATTAGTATTGGAGAAGAAAATATAGTGTCGTCTCTGGTTGCTTCCTGTAGTATATTTGAGAAGGGGGCTGTGGAGAGGAGAGTCAAACGCTGCATGGAATTTCTCAGAAGCACACAGACACATTCGTTGTGTCAGGTAGACAAGCAGAGCGAACTGCTTTCACAGTGTTGAGGTCACTGCGCTGTTTTTATCTTTTGAGCAAACAGGAGAGGTTAGTGAGGTGAGAGGATTACGCAGTTCAATCGCTGATTTGTTCAGCAGGTGCACTTCAGGTCCAATCACTTTAGCTCAGAGAGAGGGACAGAGAGGGAGAGAGAGAACTGGTAGAGTGATAGAGGTCAGAGAAGGGGTCAAGTAGACAGTGGCGTGTACACTGAGTTGCCAGTTTATTACGCTTATTGGTCATTTTGTCAGAAACTCATACAATATATGTTCACTATATAGGTGTCTGTAGTCTTCTGTTGCTGCACAGTTTATCAGCCGCATTTACTTGGCCTGTCAGTCAACAGTGACCACCATATGACCACCACAAGACAGATATCATTTGAGTGATGGACCAATCTCAGCTTGGATACTGACATGGTGCAAAAAAAGCCTTAAAAAGGCTTCTTTAAAGAAGAGAGTGTTTCTATATAAGACCATAATAAGACAAAGAACCATTCGTATGAGTTTTTATATGCACTCTTAAAAAAGATGGTTCTTTAAGGGTTCTTTAGTAAAGAAAAAGGTGCTGTAAAGAACCATGAACACTCAAAGAATACTCAAAGAAAAAAATCAAAAACATGTTTTTAAAAAAACAGCTATGAAAATACAAATTAAGTATTATTTTCACAAGTTGAAATTTGGGGGTTGGGGTTTAAGAGTCACCTCCCACTAGAAAGTACCCCATAAATGATGGTTTTGTATACATTTAGCTTTTTAATATCTTAATTAATGCCTTAGGTTTAAATAGAACATAGCGTAATCCTTGTAAGTATCTAAGGTCTGCATGCTTAATTGTTTTTCTTCAGTAATTTTTAATGTAGGACTGCAGTCTAAAGTAATTTGGTATAATGGCCCATATACAGTAAAAATAGTTCCATTTGTGATGCTATGTAAAGCCCTGTTTGCTAGGTGTGTAGTAGTAGTGTGAGTTTTGTCTGTTGTGATAGATAACAGTATGCCATTACAGTGTCAGAACCACATAATCAATCTTATTAAAGATTACTTAACAACTAGATATGGTTAGAGGAAAGGGTGCAAAGAATTAAGCATGCAATGCAATTTGTACAATGCTAACCTGAGTATCTGTATCGGGCCAACATCAACAGAAAATGATGCATTGGATATTGTAGGAAACATGCAATGAATCTGATCCAGTCTTGTAACAAATCTATCCTGAAACAACACATACTTGCAATGTGCAATGTGATGTTAGCTGTGTATTTCATCCTGTAGGGTAGCAGAATGATTGAGTAGTTTAGGCATGATCGCTTACCTTCAGATGCTCATCGTAAGTGAAGTACTTCTATTAAAAATAATTCATTTTGAAGCTTAGTAGATTTTAAAGAAAAAATAATTAGTATCGGTATCGGCCGATACTGAATGTTTCAATATCGCTATTGGTACTGCAAAAGAAAATGTGGTATCGTGCCACCTACTTTAGCTACAGTGATGCAAAAAAGTATTTGGACATTTGTGCCATCTTAAAATGTATTAAGATAAACAAAATATCAAACCAAGTGGCATTTATTTTAAATAGACTGTAATTTTTTTGCCAGTATATTCTTTTGAAAGGCAGCTGGTGTGTTTCAGGTCGTTATCATTTGGGCAGTTTCTTTGCTGGCTGCTAAAGGTTTGCATCTAAAACTCTGATTCAGGAACGCATCAAGCTCAATGTCACAAGTGTGAGAAAAACAGCTGCAGACTTTGATGCTTCCACCTCTGAGGCACTAATAGTGCTAAAATAGCTTTTGTTGCTTTGCATCATTGACACAGTGTGTCCTTGTTCAGTAAAACCAGCCAATCAGGCTACAGTTCCAAACACCACAGAACAGGTTTATTTTTGCCATTCTGTCCCTTCAGTGGCAGTTGCTTGACTTCACTCCCTCAGAATTATATCATTATCATCTAAACTTGTGTCTGTGTTTTAGTTTCTTAAGTGAGCAGAGCTTTTATCATACTAGCTAAGTGTGGCAACAGGAGTGTGGTCTAGCAGCATCTGCAGGACTTAGAGCCAGTCACAGTGAACCAGCGGGTAATTAGGCTATACTTTTCACCTATGTGTCTTTTGCTGGCAGCTGTGTCTGGATTCTGAGAGAGAGAGAGAGCTTCCCTGACACAGAGCCAGCAAAAACGACTGAAAATTCAAAGCCTGGAAAGTTTTGTTTTCCTTGTCTTGCAGACTGTTGAAAACTAAGCCAAAAATCCTCCATTAAAAGTATCCGCTCTGCGTCTGTTTCTCCGGCTCCTGTGACCTTCCTCTCCCTATATCCAAGGTTTTTAACACTTTAAGCTAATGCTAACCAGCTTTTATCTCTTAGTCAGAAGCACTGCTTAACATTTAACAATTGTTAGATAGATGGCTTGACATTTATTGAACAATAGCGTAAAAATCATGCACTGTATTCGCTTATTTGGTGACCTGAACTTTTTGATTACTTTCGATTTTTATATAATGCAGGACAATATGACACAAAAGCAACATACACGCTTTTATGACACATATGATGTAACTTACAACCAATAATACCGGTTATAAGATGGTTTGAAGCTACAAAACAAGTGGATATTCTGAAATGTTCTATTGTTTATATTGTTTAGTGGTCTCAGACATTTCAATCCCACTGTACATACATATGATTTTTTTGCTGAGCTATGCCTTTAAGCTTTTGCATTTAAGCCTTTCCTTGCTTTACTGGATCATCTGTAGAGCGCTATACTCAAGGACAAGGACTGGAAATCAGTGGTTAAACAGAGACTTAGTGTTCCGCATTACCTGACAGCTCAGCGAACAGCCTGCAGGGGGCAGTGCTGCTCTGTGCTCTGTCCTTCTCCCTTTTGGAGATGTTATTACTGTGTTATCACCCCCATCACTTTCACCATGTTTAATATTGATTAAAGCATGAAAAAAAGACACGCAATGCAATTAAACTGGACTGGAAGTTATTAAGTTTGCATACTAGAATGACGTGTATAGTGCATGCAGTGCATATCTGTGAGGGTCTGCTGAATGCAGTGAAGACATTTATAGAGGGGTGAGGATTAAAAAAGACTGTGTGTGTCAGGCAAATAAAATGGGCTTCCGTTTCCTGTATGAGGGGCTATAATTGGGGGATTTTCTCTCTTTCAGGCTTCTGAGCTTTTATAATGGAGAAGATCCAGGAAGGCCCTGAAAACGACCGCAAGGAGCAACGAGTGCCACAAAAACAGGTGTGTGTGGGGGGGGGTCTGGTTACCTCTGTGTAGGGTCCAGGGGCACGTCTCATGAAGCAGATTCAACTTAAGCCTTATATGGACGGGATTAAATTGACATGGGGTCTTGAGGTCATTTCTTCTTTTACCGGTGCTACTCTGTGATTTTAGGCCATGTCTGTTCTTCTACCTCCTTCCCTGAGAAAATCACTGATTTACCTACGGTTTTTCTCCAAACTCAGTGGTGGTCTGATCTCTGTGATTTTCCAGGTAGATGTCACCGTATGTAAAAAAAGAAGGTTTTTGGCAACTGCTACTGGGTGTATTTAGTGGCAGGTTTACTAAGAGAGGCGCTAGTTACTGAGAGTCTGCTGACACTTTACGCTGGTGGGGGCAGCCAGTTTAACGCGTTATCTGAAGTTCCACGCAAATGAACACACCACAACTTCTTAATTAACATATTACAAGTACAGTATAACCATGTGTTCGGCTCACGCTTTTTTTATGAAAGTACATTTCTGCCAGGTAGGAGGCAAAAGTTTTAAGTCTTTTTCATTTTAGTTCAAACTTGACTCATATAAATCAAAATAATAATAATAATAATAAAAAACTGAATTTATATCCAGTTTCTGTTTCGAAACATTTATTTTCGGCTGGTGAGACAAGCTGAACTTGAGTTCTGTGCAGAGTGCATTTGGAAATCACAGTGTGATATTGTTAAATCCCTGTTTAATTTCACTAAGAGCACTTAGGTTGTTTGATAACTGCGATTTTGAGCATAACCTCTTAACTGCTGTGGAATATCTTTAGTAATGCAGAGATTTCAGAGCTAAGGACTTCCAATATGTTTGGAAAAGAGAACTGTCTGATCATTATTTAGGCAAAATAATATAAACCCAAAATAATAGATTGTTAGAAATAAAGGTTCTGTGCAGGGTTATTTTTTCTTCATTAAGGTACAAACAATGTAAATGCCCCTTAAAGGTACAACAGTGGTTTTAAGGTACAGTTGTGTACCTTAAATTTTTTTTTCCAGGTGAAAAGTATGTATTTGTCCCTTTTCATAACCCAGTGTTTTACAACAGAACAATAAAGTAGAAAGCCTGGAGTCGAGACGGGGTGTGTGGAGTCAAAACAATTTAGAAAATAGAATTTCAATGGATGATGGTACAATTATGTTCCCTGACTAAAGATACTGAGATGTATCCTGAGGGGTACTGCCCCAGTGACAGCATCCTTTTTGTAAAGCTATTTAATATATTCTTTCATTGTTATTTCATTCATCAAATTAAAAATAATGTGGAATGGGAGGCATTTAAACATGTTTTTTCCATCAAAAAGTAAAACTTAGCTGGCTAAGCAAGATATCCTGCTTTGTAAGACAGACCCCAGATCTCTCTAGGATGATTTGTTGTGGGGACTTTTGGCTTCTCTCTGGAGAAAAAAAATGCTTTTTAACCAAAAACTCACAGAAGGACAGAGAAATACCCCACAAAACAGGAATACACACTGTGTGTGTGTGTGTGTGTGTGTGTGTGTCGGAGACACAACACCTCGACCTTGGCCTTGTTTCTCCTGTCTCTGGTGAAGGATGGAAGACACTCGTTTACTCCTGCTTTTATCTGCCTTTTATTCTCTCCTACTGCTCTTATCCCTCGTTTACCTGCACACGTAGATAGGATTATCTTCAGCAGGTCCCCAGACAGAGGTGGGGGGGTGCAGGGAGAGAGAGGAGGGGGGAGACAGGGAGGGATGGAGAGAGATAGAAAGAGAGAGAGAGAGAGAGAGAGAGAGAGAGAGAGAGAGAGAGAGAGAGAGAGAGAGAGAAAGGGGGAGGCATGCAGAGAGAAAGTGAGAGGAAGAAAGAGAGAGAGGGATGTAGAGAGTGCAGAGAGAACATAAAAGAGAGAGGGAGTGTGGGAAGAATAGAGAAAGGGATAATGATGGAAAGAAAGAGGGATGGTTGGAGAGAGTAAGCAAAGGAACAGAAAGGCATAGGCAGAATGAGAGAAAAAAGATGGAAAAAGAAGGAGGGAGAGAGAAAGAGAGATGGGAGGAAAAGAGAGAATTATAGAAAGAAAGAGAAAGAAAGAAAGAAAGAAAGAAAGTAAGAAAGAAAGAAAGAAAGAAGGGCAAAAAAAGTCGAGACATGGAGGGAGGGAGAGGAAGAGAAAGAGAGTGAATGAGGAAGAAGGAGGAATGGAGAGAGTGAAAGGGAGGAAAAGTGGAATAGAGAGGGGTATAGTGATGGAAAAGAGAAATAAAACTAGAGACAGGAAGAGAGAAAGAATGGGGGACAAAGAAAGAATGAGACAGGCAAAGGGAGAGAGAAAAAGAGAAGGAGGAATAAAGAAAGAGAAGGAGAGGGAAAGAAAAGAGACAAAGAGAGATGGATAAAAATAAAGAAGATGAGAAAGAGAAGGATGGATAAAAATAGATCAGCTGCAGGAACTAGGGGGGATGGAAAGAGACAGAGGGAGAGAGATGGATAAAGAGAGAAAAAGAGAGGGGAAGTGAGAGAAAAAAGATGGATAAACAGTAAGACAAATGTGGAAGAGAGAGAGAGAGAAGAAAGAAAAAGATGGGGAGAAAGAAAGAAAAAGAAATAGGCATAGAGAGAGAAGGAGGGAGAGCGCGAGAAAAGAGACAGAAAGAAAGAGAGACGGAGAGAAGGAGAGTGAGAAGGAAGGAGAGAGGTGGAGAGAGAGAGAGGATGTGAGAGGGGAAAAGGTGAAGAGAGGTAGAGACGGAAAGGGAGGGAGAGAGATAGAGAGAGAGAAGGTGAGAGAGGGAGGGTGGGAAAAGAAAGGATGAGAGAGAGAGAGAGAGAGAGAGAGAGAGAGAAAGAGAGAGAGAGAGAGAGCGACAGTGTTGAGCATTAGTCTTGTATTAATATTAAATCTCTGGGGTTTGCAGTGAGCCCGGTGTAGAGGGCTTGTTTTTGGTCAATTAAGGACGGCTTCTGTGCTGCAGGATTATGCCATGAGACTCAGTAACAGGCTCCATAATCCGACCCTGTGGACATGACGGTCACTGAGAGAGGGAACAGGGGGTGGAGTGGGGGGGGGGTGGATGGAGAGGAAGAGAGTAATTATCCTTAATGGCTTTCATATTTATAGTAACTCTGCCTTTATTAATGACTTGTTTGGAATGTGTGAACGTGCTAATCAAATTTCTCTCCCATTTATTAATGATATAAATAATTATATTGATAATGCACTCCTCATACAGGAGGGTGTGAAGATGAAATGAGGGAAACCTCAAGCATATGTGCGTATATCACAGCTGCTTTTATCTTCAGAACAGCTTTGGTGAGATGATTTTATGGGACTCTGAAAAAGCTGTCATCGGGTTTAAAGGATTCCTTTGGCTTTTTTGTGGAATAAAATATAAGCGATCAATTGTTGGCCTGTATTAATTTAATGACTGTTTTGGTTAAGAGTGGTTTGGCTGAAGTTATTAAAGCAGTGTTTAAAGAGCTTATTTCATAAAAAAACTCAATTTTCAGTGCTTTGACTTTAATGTAATATATAAAGACTCTGGAAGTTTCAAAACTTACTGTTCACTCCTGTGTTCATCCATGTCTATGCAGATACACTAAGCTGCAAAACAGCCCGTTTTGAATTCATCATGGCTGTGATAACACAACTATGAATACATTTGCATATGACCTCCCATTCTACATCAGTTTAGCCATCCATTAATGTCAGTCAAAACTTAACACTTTAATCTATACATTTCTGCTTGGGTTACTTTTTGACCAATGCATAGTACAGCCAATCAAAACAGGGGTCATTTGCATATATCGGTCTTACAGGCAAAGTGACAATAAAGTTCTTTAGATATAAGGATAAAGAGAAGTGAAGTACGGAACCCCTGAAGGGATGTGGTGTATCATTGTTTTAAGTAAAAATCAGATACACACCAGATACTATCAGGTGAGCACCAGATACTATGTGGTGTGCACCTAATACTATCAGTTGTGCACCAGAGACCATGTGGTGAGCACTTGACACTATTAGATGCACACCAGATACTTTTAAGTGCACACAAGGTACTATCAGGTGTGCACTAGATACTATGTGATGATCACTAGATACTATTAGATGTGCACCAGAATTGGATGTGCCAAAGCTTTATAAAGAGAAAACTGAGATACTTGGGGTTAGAGAGGAAAGACTGAAAGTTCATCTTGACCAGCATAAATTTCAAAAGCCAGCATCTGTCATGATATGGAGGTGTATTAGTGATTAAAATCATTTTGAATGCAACCAGCAGATGTGCACTTTCCCTCTCCATACATCATTTTGCCAATTAAAAATAGGTAATGGCACATCATAGACTGTCGGAAACAACATAAGCAAGTCTATTTGAGATTACTTAAGACTTGCTTTACACAGTGTAACTTTTATGCCACTTTAGTGCGTGAAACATACATGCAACTAAATCCTGCTAGAGCTGCACGATGTAAAGCGTCCTGCAACTCATTTGAAACTCAGCTGCAACAATTGCAAGCATCTTAACTTTGTGGAACAAGTTTCATGAAACAATCAAGACGGCAGTAATGCACCACATGATCATTTTGAAAGACATACTTTCAAACCATTGAAAATAAAGCAGAAGACCGCTTATTGGGCAGTAGACGGATTCAAGGGTGGTAGTTTTCCATCTCGTCACTTACCTGACAAGTAACCTTTGAACGTGGTCTTATTGACAAAGCCTTTCATATGGACACAAAGCTCAGTTTCACTTTAATTGTTTTTTGCCTGCAGCTATAGAAGCATGTATAAAAAGTGGGTTTAGTGGAGCATGATGATTGGCTAGTGGGGCACTGGCCCACGAAATGACTCTCTCACGTTGGGCCTGTCTCAGCATAGCCTTAGATCACATTTCTGATGTTTGATGTAAACATCATGAGGCTCTAAATCAGGTTACTTTTCAAAAACATACTCCACCTTCTTCCTCAGACTTCACCCCTATAGCCTTTTTTTTTCTGGGGAAGCCGTTGATCATCCAGT